AAGATGTAGTCTGCGCCCCACTGGGTCCGCCCGGTACTAGAAGCACAGACACACCTGCTCAGATAATAACCCATGCCTATTGCGCCATGCCTATTGGGCCATGCCTATTGCGCCATGCCTATTGCGCCATGCCTATTGCGCCATGCGAATGGCGCATCACAGTCCCTGGAATATAGCATAACATGAATATTTTCCATGAAGGGACGAAGACTGGGAACAATACAAACCTGCCACTGTGAAAAAGTAGAGACGAGGGTCACACTTTGCCCAGCGACAAAAAGAGGGGGAACAAGGGCAGCTCTCTGCGTGCAGACAGGCAGGAGAGCGCACAGCTGGATCCCTGACATCACTCACTCTGACAAGACACTCCGTACGAAATGTGTCAGAGGAAAAAAGGAAACATCCCTCTCATAAGAGGGAAAAAGGGCTGCTCTCCGCGTGCCGAGAGGCAGGAGAGAGGCGCACAGCTGGATCCCTGACGTCACTCACTCTGACAGGACACTCAGCACAGGGTGTGTCAGAGAGGAATGGGAGACATCCCTCAAATACAATTGAATAAATGAACAGGGGGAAGACCAAGAAGCAGCAGTGCAAATGTCTTCCACTGACATTCCTCTGTGCAAAGCCGTGGAGGAGGAAATTCCTCTGGTGGAGTGCGCACTGATGTTCTCCGGGGGATTCACCCCAGAGGAGACATATGCCTGCGACACAGCCTCACACAGCCAGTGTGACAGCCGTTGTGCAGACAGAGGCTGCCCGAATGAGTGCTCTCTGTAATGCACAACCAGGCGCTGGGAATGGCGCAAAGCAGCCGTGCGCGTCACATAGCAGGACAGCGCGCGCACGGGACAGAGGAGATGAGATGTGGCTTCCTCCTCCGACCTGTGAGGGGGAGGAAAGAAGCCATCCAAGGTGATCACTCTTGACCTAAAAGAGCTTGTGATGACCTTTGGCATAAAAGCCGGGTTAGGGCGTAAAACAGCTGAACTGCCATCTCCTTGTATCCGGAGACATGACGGAGCCACAGAGAGAGCAGACAAATCACTCACCCTTTTCGCTGATAGAGCCAAAAGTAATAGCCTACTACTTTGGCTGATAACAGTTTAAGGGGAACCTGATCTAAAGGTTCAAATGGGGCTTTGCTTAGTGCGCGTAACACCAAAGCCAAATCCCACTGAGGCGCCAGTGTGCGTGACACAGGTCTGAGTCTCCGTACTCCTCGCATAAAATGGCTGGGTGGCTGCTGATCGCTCCCTCCGCCTGGGAGAGAGCGTCCCCGCGCCACGGAATTTCCCACGGTCTGCCTGACAGCGTACGCTGTAGGCATGGAAACCAGGACGCTCCCGTGCGCTCCCGTGCGCTCCCGTGCGCTCCCGTGCGCTCCCGTGCGCTCCCGTGCGCTCCCGTGCGCTCCCGTGCGCTCCGGGGCTATCAGGACCGCTGAATCGGTCCGGGAACCGAGGGGTCAGCGGAACTGGTGGGAAAACCGTATAACAGCACCCTGGGCCACAGCCGATGTGCAAACGCGTCTACCCCCAGAGGGGGGTGATCCTGCGCTCTGCGAGCCCCTCTGTTCAATTCGTCTGGAATATACATTGCTCTGATGGAGAGCAACGTGTGTGCGCGCCCAGAACAGCAGCCGCCTGGCTGCGTTCAGAAGCTGCGCAGATCGTACTCCTCCCTGGCGATTGAGGTAGGCTGCTGTGGCCTGTTGTCTGTGCGAATCAACACATGTTTGATTGTACAGCAACGGTACGATGCGCAGGCGAATTAACAACCTCTGGAGTCTCCTCCTGTGGGGGAGACCCAGGGGGATCACCACGTGACCAGCTGACGTCATGCTGAGCAGCTGTATCACGGAGAGGGCTGTCACCACGCTGCGGGATGTGACACGCCGGAGGAGAGCTGTCAGTTTCTCCACTCTCAGCCGCAAGAACCGCAAGAACCGCGAGAACCGCGAGAACCGCGAGAACCGCGAGAACCGCGAGAGCCGCGCTCTCCTGCTGGCTGAGTTTAATTCCACTCCCAGATAAATGATTGTCTGGGAGGGAAGAGGACAGATCTTCTTCCAATGTATGAAAAAACCCAGGCTTGACAGATGCGATACGAGATGTACCGTCTGTAAGCAACTTCCTCCCTGGAGCGAGCCCGCAATAGCAGGTCGTCCAGATGCAGAACCACACTCTCATCCCTCCTCTGTGTAGTGGCTCCAGCCTTCTCTACACACTTTGAAAATGTGCGAGGAGCCAGGGAATATCTGAACGGCAGACGATTGTCTGGTCTGATATTCCCTGAAATGAGAAACGCAGGGATTTCCTGTGTTTCATGATGATAGGTAGGCTACATGGAAGTAGGCCTATGTGCAGGCTTCAGGTCTATGGAAGTGAACCAGTCGTCCTGGTGAACACATTCCAGCACCTGTTTGATCGTCAGCATGTGGAATACTGACAGATCAAGGATGGGTCTCATTCCCCCGTTCTGGCTTCTCTGTGATGTGCTGTAATGGTCGTCATGGTGACGAGCCACGCCATTGCCCTCGCCGCCGCTGCCCGTGAGGCGAAGGGGCTGCGAGGGATCCTCCACACGCTGCGTTTCACTCAGGCTCTCATCATGAGGCGCTACACGCTCAGGGGATGAGTAGTGGTGTGTGCAGTGCTGTCCGCATGAAGCGTTATAACGGTGCTCATGGGTTCATTATGACCGTGTGTAGGAGGCGTATCTCGGACAGAGGAATGCCGCAAGCTCTGCAGGTTATTAACCGAGGTTAAAACCGGCAGGCTTCTGCAGCGAGCCCTGCTGTCTACTAATCAACAGATTAGTGGCAGCCGGCTTAATTAGCGAGCCCTGCAGTTTATTAACCGATAGATTAAAAACTGCAGGCTTTTGCAGCGAGCCCTGCTAATGACAGGTTAGTGACAGCTGGCTTAGTTAGCGAGCTCTGCAGTTTATTAACCGATAGGTTAAAACCAGCAGGCTTCTGCAGCGAGCCCTGACGCCGTGGCGGGTGCTGCGGGCGCTGCCGCTGGGGGCGCTCAGCAGGCTGGAGCCAGCTGACATGCAGCCCTGTTCCGCGGCAGTCCGAACAGCCCGTCCGGGCTGATTGGAGCATCCAGCAGCACTTTCCTTTATCTCCTCCGAAGCCTCGGAGGGCATGGAGGGCTGCTTTGATAGTCTCACTATGGAGTGAGACAGCAGAGCGATGTTGTTCGCCGCTGCAGACGCCTGGAAGGCACACTGATGCATCCGGTAAGTCTGGCGGATGACAAACTGGTCCCCGGAGGAGGAAAGCAAGGGACGCCATGCGGCTTCACCCGAACAATGCCGTCAGGTTCGGCTCCAGGGGAGGCGCGGTCGGAAACCAACATTCGTTAACCAACATTCGTTAACCCCTTAGTGAGGGGGACGTATGAGGACACCGGAGCCTTCAGGCTCCAGGGGCCGCCGCCGCTCCCTCCTGGCACTTCCGGATGGCCGGGAAGCGCGGCCAGACAGGGTCACTCCTGACGGTCTGTACCCGGGAGAAATACAGCTGCCACCGGCAAGAGAGCTCTCCTGAGCCGAGGGAACGAGGAGACCTCTCCAGGCGGCTGCCTTTTCGATGATCTCCGGCAGTTCCTGCAGGATCCCGCCTATCGACGGCAGAGCCGTGATGTCGGAAAGAGGGACCGCGGGTCCCGCAGCCGGGCCAGGCCGGCACCGGGCTCCATCTCCGTCTCCTCCATCCGGGGAGAAACGGGATGGGGAAACCACACGGTGATCCGTGGATGGAGGCGGGGCAGGAGGCCTCCGACTCCTGCCCAGCACTCGGATCCAGGAACTCAAGGCTGGTCCACGGAGTAGGACTGGCCAATCATCCTCCTCGGCCGCAGTAGCGAGAGCGTCCACTCTTTGCTGTCTGTCGGCCAGAGGGAGACGGGCACAATGACAATGAGCACATGACACCTGCTGGGCGAGAGCTGCGTGCGCGTGCTCCGACCCCAGGCAGGATTCGTCTGGCATGAGGAGCAAACTCTAACACAACCCTGTGTACTCATGTTTTAAGGATCTTTTTCGAGGTGGCTCTTAAAAGAGCCTTTACTCTTTAGTGTCTCTACAGTGCTTCAGTACCGGGGTGCTGAAGAAAAGAGGGAGCAGATTGTCGGGCCTCCTTCCTATTTATACCGGAAGGGAGCCCGAGGGTGGGGCCCACCTCGCGGGTGGGCGTGGACTACAAGTGTTTCAGTGCTGCGCGGGTGCGCAGGGGATTACCCAATAGCGATAGCCTTAGAGGGCGAAGCCATATACGAAATAGAACCCTCAGAATTGATTTGGCATCTCAACCGTGTGGTCAGATCGTGGCCCATGACATGTCTTGTGAATTCTCCGGCCGAAGCTCCAAATAAACTGTTAGTGTTTGCCATCAAAGCTCCAGCTCTCCTCGTGTCTCTCTGAGTCCTGTCTCCAATTGCTTCAGAAGTTTCTCCCACAAACATCAGTTTAGACTAAGTTCCACATTTTTACCAAACTTTTGTATTAAGTTAGGAACATTCTATTTGTTTCATATATAATAACAATTGGTGTAATGAGAAAAAGGTCACAAAAACGTGTTTCTTAATGAGTGTTGCTACAATGAAGTGCCCCTTACTGTGCTATATGAGCCTTAAGCTTATTCTGAGCATCCATATATTTGGCAAGTTGCTGTGAAACACAGAAAGTGCTTTAATAAACATCCTGTAAGGCCCCAAACTGAATAGCAAGCAAAGTTGCTCATCGGGGGACATAAGGTCAACAAAGACTGGCAATGTTGTCAGGAAGCCGGCAGATTGAGGATTATAAATTGACGTGAAAAAATACCACATTTGTTAAATCTGTTAGTTGGATACTTATGACAAAGTGAAACAAAATGTAAAGAATAAATAGATGACTGTCTTTGCTGAAAATGTTCAGTTACTTTGTCATTTCTATTTGTTATCTCTTTGAAATAAGTGCATTTTTGTTGCAAAATGTTCCTTTCTTTGAACCTATACAATGCCTGAGTCACCAACGTACCACAGCAGGACAAAGGCTAGAGAGAGGAGAACTGTGCCTAGTAGGTCTCCAAGGGCTGTGAGGTAGGGTATTGAGTAACTGTCGGGGTCTTTACCCTGACGCCACAGGAAGTGGACCATACAGTCTGCTATGCAAAGCAGGCAGAAGACCTGAGAGATGGACAAAAGTGGTGTTGTGAAACAGTGATTAAGTGTGCAGAGGAAAAATGACAACATGTGTTACTTGTGACTCACCTGAATCAGGGAAGCAGACAAGAAGGCAACAGTGAAGAGAGCACTGGGCAAAGTGTGGCCTCCTTTTAAAAGGTGGATAGCGTGTAAGAATACGATCTGACCGGGGATCACCAGAAGAAGAAGAACCTGAGCACATCGATGGTTTGCTCCTGCCATGACAAAGATAAACATCAGAGAGTGTGTAAGTGTGTGCTCCCTTCACTGTCTACCTATAAGGTGCGTGTGTGTGTATGTTATTTAAATAAAAAATCGATCTTTACCTGAACCAAAGAAAGTGCGGCAAGGGCTAAAACAGCCTTTACGGTCCTCAGGTACCTCTTTATGTGAGTAATTCAAATGCAGATTAGTGGAAATGCGACTGGCCTGAATGGAGACGAGGTTCCCTCCAATACCTGAAAAGAAAGACAATGTAGAGAGCACTCATCTGACTTCACACAGCAACTACAACAAAGGGATATATTTTACATTATACATTAGTACTTCCTGTAGACTGACTTTGATTTGTAAATTGACATAGTTCCCAGCGACTTCACCTCCAAAATTCTAATTTAAGAACATTTCTTGATAGATTCAAGGTGGTTCAATGGTGTGTTTGGCAGCTGCAAATCTTGATGAAAACATCCATCTCCATAACGCATGCATCGGCAGAAGGAATTTCACAATTAAAATACAAATAGTCACATTGATTGGGGGTGGAAAAATGTGTCTAGAGGCAGTTCTCCAGAGGGGGGTTGGGGCATCAACATCCGGCGCAGAGAATGAAAATACCAGACAGGGGGAGGGGCAGACCAACAGATCTCAGAGAAACAGCTGGATTCAATACTTTTTTTCAAATCTATTTAACAGATGGAGCTGATCATGGCACGTTTGTATTAAAATAAGTTTGCTCTTACCTTTAGTGCTATTTATCAATCTAGCAATTTAAGTTAAAGTTGCACAGTGTTATATAGGCTCTCCTGAGATCAATAATACTGCTTGTGGCACTTTGAGCACCACAAGCAGTTTTTACACAATGAACATCTCATATACATATTCTCCCCCTTTCCAGGTAATCATTAAATGGCTTATAATGTTGAGTATTGATACTTGGTTAGCCTGTTTCGGCGGGACTGGTAAAGGTTAGACCTTGCTATTTTGGTTGGATCCGTGTCTTAAATCAACTCAGCAGTCGCAGACAGGTCAACAAGGGACCTCGGGGAGAAAAGGAAAGAGATCCCTACTTCTCACATACTCGAGTTCAGGCCAATATGCCCTTCCAAAAGAGGGTGACTCACCATTTATGACTGGTGCATAAACTATGATTCCTGCCAGGTTTGGATCGGATACAGCCTTGTCCAGAATAAGTCCTCCAATACTAAAAGAAAGACCGACAAAAACATGCATTCCTCCTTATAAAGTTCTACATTTTGACAAACTAACTAATCATTTACTGAATGTAAAACTTTGGGAATCCACAACTAAACAAAGATAGTTAACTAGTCTTCAATATGCATGCTTTCTGAAAGATCAGTAAAGACTAGGGTCAGTACCTGCTGATGACCATAGCTGTTATGATTGGTTCCCAGCCCGTGCGGAGCAGGAGCTGACTGGCTGGATGTTTGGAGGAGAGGACCACCCAAAGAGGAATCAGGCATAAAAATAACATATCCACCAGGTACAACACGTAGGGATACAGCTCTGTCAAGACAAAAACTCATTATCTATACCTGTATTTGCAACAAGGATTCAGTTTTTGTTAGGTTCATGATCCTTATGGATGAGTTGGTTCCAGGATCATGAGTACCATCTGTTGGCCAACAGTAAAATTACATGACCTCTGATCCATGGGTGTCCAATGTATAGTATTATTCCACAATGTTCTGGTGTATGTTATTCAGATTTAAATAGACACCTTGTTGTCCTTGTTGTTTTTACCTATGAGGGAGAAGAACCACTGACTGAAGCAGGCCAGCAAGGCAAGAGTGATGAGATCTCCAAAACTGGCAGCCATCGGTGTGGCCACGTTATCAGGGTTGATTCCCATCCGCATGGAGCCAAGGATCACTCCCACCATAATAATACCTACAGACGGATAAAAACAATGTAAAATCGTAGTTTATGAGGTGACATGGGATCGGTACGGAAGGCATTCATTCTGTGGGAAAAATGTTTTCATTTCAACCTGTATGGAACTAAAAGGGCCCTAAACATTTAATTTTATTATATTATTATTATTTATTTATTTTCAATGTTAATTGTTAAGAAAATAAAAGTGATGTAGGGGCAGCAGAGGAAAGAATGAGTACCTTGTGTGAATGCAGGCCCCAATTTATAGCTAAACATCTGCATATGTGGCACTGAGCTTGTGATTAGCATGTGCTACAATTCAAATTGTTGTTTAATAAAAGGACATTGTGTCCCCAAAAGTTGTACAACTTTTCTACAATTGTTTTAAATTTCTTAGATGCGACTCTCCACACTCCCTCTGTTTATTCTCCCATTCTTAGCATAATGTCCATCATGAAAAGCAGCTCTTTTCAAGATAAATAGTCAATTTCCTGAGATGGTGCAGTTCTTTCAAGCCGCTGGACCAAAACACAGGACACAATGGATTTCATAGGTCAGCACCTGTCATTGTATAATGTATGAATCATTGAGCTGAATTGATTGAGGTCAAGGGTGAAGCAGAGAAGATTTGAACAGATGGATTGTGATGGTGTTTCAATGGTACGGCAGATTGTGTTGTTACCTTGCAGCAATGAAGCAAAGAAGGTGGTAGAAACACTGGCAGAACACAGGAGCATTATGTGATGTAGAGGCATCTGTCCTTCTGCCATCCAGCCCAACACAGTCGCCATCAAAGAGGCTAACAGCCCGAGCACTGTGGCCTGAAGCTGTCAAATGAGGGAGCACGTTAGAAATACCCACAACACTTGTTAGATTGCAATAACATGAGGGAAATAATCAAGTATGATACAAGGACGTTTTTTGACAGACAAAATAGATACAGTTTATCACAAAGCGGCTGTAGCCGAAAGAAAATAAGGTACCTGCTTCAGCGCCAAGTTCCCCATGATCAACATCCACTTTTCTCTGGTGGACTCCATTTTTCCTGCATTCACCTGAAAACATGAGATGTGGTTGATACATAAAAAACTTGATAGACTCGATTTGCTTATGAAGATCATGGGATATAAATAAACGCTTCAGAAGAGCTATGGATGGATTTGATTTCTTTGTCAACTGGTTTTTCCAAAGTCAAGAATGAATGGATGAATATTGTTTATAATGTTACAACATCAGCTAAAACAACAGAATCAACAACAACTGTGAATAATTTCTACTCCAGTAACATCCAACTTAAACATCCAATTATAAATAGAAATACTATAAACAAATACATTGTTAGATTCCTTGTGAGCAATGAAAAAGAACGCTTTTGGGCTTTGTTTAATCGACTATATCTATTACGAGTACATATGGCCCGTATTCAACAAAAGCATAAAAACGGATAAAAGACTGAGAAAATAAATATATAATTAAATTGCACAAGCATACATACATTTCAACATACAATCAAACTATGCAGGGATTATTTGTTAACATACATTGAGAATAACTTCAATGAAACACGAAGGCCAACCTGTTACTATTCTGTCATTACTTTTCAACATCCCTCCGCTAAGTGGTTCCTACTAAAGATGGACATGTTTAAAAGCTGCTGTTTTTATAAAATGAAACAGCAACCAGAGTAAAAAGTGTCTTTCTTGAGACTATTTTCACCTACAAAGGTTTCCAAACTTAAGGCACTTAAAAGCATCAACGTCACAAGAACGGAATTGAATAAAAACATCCTATTTTTATCCCAATGAATGAAAGTCTTATCCTGTGCAACAGTGTTGTTCATCAATGTGTTTAATTTTTTTCGAAAGTAATGGAGCCATATTACACAGCTGTTAAAAACAAACATTATTTGATCATCATATTCTTTCCCTTCCAAGAAAACATATTTTCAGTTTATGTTTAGGTTGGACTATTGTTATTATCAACTTGTCCTGCGGGACATTGTGTGAGTTGATGTGCTGCCGTGGTCTTCACAGCTCTGTGAGGAGTTTCACACGAGGAGAGAAAATCCATGGTGCAAGAGGCAAACATATAATTCGGAGAAAGAGGTCTAACTTACCCTGTTATCCATTTATGTTTGTTTACCTCCAACGCTGTTGCTAATTTCTTTACATTTCATATTTTGTATTGCATTGGTTTTTGGTATTTAATAGTGTATGTAATGTTCTAAATCTCGTTGTTTATTAGTAATTATATATCAAATAAAGAATATAGACAAAAAAAAAAGTCCCTTTTTGTGTACATCATGGTAAACAGGAATGGATTCAATTACAGTGTGTGTGTGTGTGTGTGTGTGTGTGTGTGTGTGTGTGTGTGTGTGTGTGTGTGTGTGTGTGTGTGTGTGTGTGTGTGTGTGTGTGTGTGTGTGTGTGTGTGTGTGTGTTAAAATTCACACTTACAGCAGTGGAGAGTCTCGAGGCTAAAGTCATTTCCAGGTTACCCTTCATGCCTAACACTGCAGGGACCAGGATAAAAAGTTCTGTGATTTCCTGGAACACGTCCCAGCTCTGCCATGAAAACAAACGTAATATGGATGAACCAATAACAACACCACAAACACACAATAAATCATCTTCATTTACACCTAGGATAATAAAAAAACATAACAATTCAATTAAAATGTTCTGGCAAAATTAGAATGTGTTCTTTATACAATCTCTACAATTTAGCTTCCACATTTTGTAAAGCCAAGCAATTATGACCTCTTTTTACTGTAAACCACATCTCCTTTACTTTGTTTACCCACCTGCACCACTTCAAGCAGCATCCCAGCACAGATAGTCCCAAGCCCGGCCAGCAGAAAAGGCACCAGGATCTGAAGCAGCATGGAGCGGAGGGACTCAGCAGGTGGAACGGGGCCACCCGCATCCTTTGCACTCGTGGATCTACTGAGCGTTGATCTACCGTAGAGTTTACTCGGGAGCAGAAAGTCCGTCTCAGTGTACTCTGGATCATGATGGATACTTGGGCTGATTGTTGAAATACTCCCATTAGAGATAAAACGTTGTGGACTTCCAGAGTTTTGAGATGCAGATGGGTAGGATCCGTACTGTGGGATGGTGCCTCTGCCCACAGAGCCATTTGGGGACAGTTTGTCATTGTGTGACTCAGGGACAACCATGGTGTAAAGCTGGCAGGATGCTTGCTACTCCTGAGGCTTCTGCAAACTGAGAAACAGTGGCACCAACACTGGTCAGAGCGGTCCTAAAAGGATAAGAGAAACACCAAAAGTAAGAAGAAATAAAACAGCAAGAAAAAACTGGTTCAAAAGCTGTATAAGTTGATTCAGAAGCTCAGCATTTAGTTATAAAGTTGTGTACCACACATTTAATTTCCATGAAAAATCAAGTGTGCAACTTTGGCATGTGGAAAGCTTGGCTGTGTCAGGGTCATCTGATGGCACAGATTGCTGCATTATCATTCTTCATGCCTGTTCTCATCAGCAACACTGAGGCAGCATTGTTTGGGAGGACAAAGCTCTAGATTTGGAATTCCTAAGAGATGACCAGGTACTAAGCAACTGAGGTTATCGAATTGAGAGCGAGAAAATATCCAAAATATGTAACTGTCAATCATTTTCCTATCAACAAGCTTCAACTGTTTATCAGAATGCATCAACATTACCCTGAACAACACGTTTTATCCTAAAAAACATGACAACCTCTTTAGATAAATCTTATTAAAATGACTGCTAAAGAAGTAAAGAAACCAACATTATGATTGAGAAACATCATTGTGTCATGTTATATATTCATGGTCAACTTGACCATCAACAATTGCTAGAAAAGGTAACAAGAACCTAACTATTATGAACCAAGACCATATTTCATCCTTTGAGGCTAAGATATAATGCGCCAGTGAAAGATGGCCGCATTGTCTTTTGGCTCCTCTCCAACTTTGCCCTTTTTCATATTTTGTTTGTGTTTATTTACTTTTTGCCGTTTGCTTTTAACATGGTTCACTATATTTTTCTGTTTATCTGTGTTATTGTGTTGCACTGTTGGAGAAGCCTGTGACCTAAGATTTTCATCGGCATAACTACACTGTAGCTATGTTCGTATGACAAAATAAAGAACCTTGAACCTTGAACCTTAAGCAGCCTAAGTTATCTGAAAGGAATATTGTGCTCACAAATCTGCAGATTCACGAGGGAATCTCAATGAATGGTGCATCAAACAAACTGTATGAAAGGATTTCTACAGTCGAGCTAATCATCTTCAAGATCACAATCAAAGGTTTAAGTACAAAATAAGTACTAGGAATAAAAAAAAGTTTCAATTTGCATACCAAATCAATTTTTAATGCTGAGTTTATTTTGGTGTGTATGTGCCTCTTTAGCATATCTGCTAATCACACATACTTCTACAATCAATGTGTCAATATGTGTTTTTATATATTTCAATTCGATAGTATGAACAAAATGTAGAAAATAGTTAGATAAATAAACGAATAAATGAAACAAAAAAGGGCCTTACCCTTATTTTTGAACCATACGAGGAGAAGAGTCATCTGTTCTCTCACTGCACTGCTAACCGTGACTCTTCCTTGTCGACTCTGTCGTCCACTAAATAGTAGCTGAGTCTTCAGTGTGACTTTAGCCCAACTCCCCCTTCTCAATCACACATACACACACTGCATATCTCTCTCTAACCCCCCTCTAACATTTTCAGTAGGCATATTCAAATACGTTGGCAGTGGACAGGCAGCAGGATACACACATATTTAACAGTTATTTGTTAGGAGCTGTCCAATATTGGCCTGCTGTGACCATGTAATTGTTATGTTGTTTTATCACATGGAGTGTTTATTTGACCCTTGACATACAGGGTCTATCTATCTATCTATCTATTTTATCTATCTGTCTGTCTATCTGTCTATCTGTCTATTTGTCTATCTGTCTGTCGAGTGACATGTCTGCTGGACTCCATTTCCCATGAGCACTAGCAACCATTCACAAAATCATGAGACCCATCATGGGACCGTGAAGCAACACTCTTTAACAGCAGTGTTTTGGGTCACCGAGTTTTGCATTATGGCAGTAGAAACCATCGCCCCTGACTGGGAATTTGACCGTTTTGACGACGGTTCACAAAGTAAGTAAAGTCCTGTATAAATAGCGACGTGCTAAACTTAACTAGCCTCCAGTGCTAGCTTACGCTGCTAGCTATACGCTTAGCCACTGGGCTCCGTCTATTTGCTGGCACGGAACAACTCCTACTGTCAATTGCAAACAAATGCTCGTAAAATGGAAACCTTCTGAAATGATTTCTATATTATTTGCTATACTTGAACGCGTAGTGTGCTGGTTGCAGTTGATATGTAAAAGTAAATGTGTAAAATTAGGTAAAGGAAAGTTATTTAACGTTATTCACGGCTATCAGTCACATTGCTAACAGCTGATCAGTCTGACAGCCTAATGACACTTGGGCAATTTTGACAGTGGCTCATAGTAAACACTGCAAAAATAGTGGAAACTAACTTCCTCCTAGAAAACAACATGGACAATGGTAGGGTTTTATTTATTTGTGTGTAAGGTGTCCTGCGGTTAATATGCAGTGCCCCCCACAGATAGGAAATTGTTTTGGATAGGATTGTGCATCTATTTCTCGAATGAGACATTTACGTTCACATTTGAGCAAGCATTAATGGACATTTACCCTAATCTAGCTGTAACAACATTGGTGTTTAAATCACAGTGAATAGTCTGCTGCAGTGTACTTGATCAAACCCTCCACCCTACAGAAATACACACAGAGGTTCAACTCAAGAACTACAGCAAGTTTCTGGAGGACTACACCTCCCAGCTGAGGGGTATTGAGGAAGCACTGGATGACTCCATAGGAGATGTGTGGGATTTCACTCTGGACCCCATCGCCCTGAAGGTAAAACATCAAACACTAGTACTTGTACATCAACCTGAAAACACTGACATTGTGCTTTCTCAATTTACACACATCTTCCTTCCGTTCTACTCTCTTTCAGCTTCTCCCGTACGAGCAATCATCTTTATTGGAGTTAATTAAAACAGACAACAAGGTAAATAGAAACACACATAATCTTTAGTTTTCAAGACACTTATCTACACAATTGTACTTGTTTAGATATGGCTAATATTGCTTCCATTGTGTGCAGGTTCTGAACAAAGTCATCACAGTATATGCTGCTCTCTGTAGTGAAGTAAAGAAGCTCAAGTATGAGGTAAGCCTGCTCAGAACACTTCACTCTGTGCTATTGTGAAATTAGTTTGGTTTGTGTCTGTCTGCTATTGGTTGAAGGTCCCATTATGTAAACAATGAACGCTTATGTCTTTTGATTTCAAAGCAGGCCCAGGTGCTACATTCATATTGTGAAAGTAACAAGTTTTACACATCTCATATTAAGAAACAGTTTTTTAAATGAGAAGTTTTGATCTCACAACTATACAATACATGGGTAAAAAGTGGCAATGCAGATGGCGTGTGCACAGATACACAGACACTCTGACCAATTAGAGCAGACTGGAACGTTGTTGCAACTTAAAATCAGTTGCTTTCTAAAGGCTGTTGAGTGAACCCCCTTCAGTGAGAAACAGACAGCATTTTAAAGAGTAGAGAGCAAGAATAAACAGTTACAGGTTGTAAAACACCTTTTGGGCCGGGGGATTTACGCAAGAGGATGACCTGATAACACCAGAGGCCTGTACTACGAAGCCGGATTTTCGCTTAGCCGGCTGACTTCAGGGAAAACTCGGGCTTTCCGGTCCTACGACGCTGGTTCTCTTTTTAGCGGGCTAGATCTCCATGGTAACTTATGCTGAGCGGCTAACCTCCTCGGGAGGAGGTTAGGTTGCAGGCTAAGAGATCAACTCAGTGAAAGCACCGCCTGCTGACCAATCAGAGCTCCGTGTGCGGAGTTTAAAGCGATCAAGTCATATTACAGGATAGAGGAAATACAGAAAAACTGCCGTTGCAGGAAAGACGGCCGGCCAAAATCAACTGACTGTGTGAACGTGAAAATGAATAGAATATCCCCTCCCATCTTCAGAGCAATCTGACTATTATAACATTAGCGTTAAGAAAGCTTACTTAAATATCTGCCACAACATGAGTAACCGGATCAGAGTAACATTAAGTACAGTCCGCGGCACTGTGAGTGCAGACGTCGATGTGTCCCATTATCATTCATATCATATCACATCATAATGTATCATATATTTCCTTTTTTGAGTCAGCTTCTTGAACCGTATCTGGCCGTGCAACACTCACAGTGTCACATACTGTATGCAGAAGTATTATTTTAAGCAACACATTAAGTTGACGAAACACTCGAGTCAAATTCTCCTAATTAAAGTCAGATCCACTCGTGTCTTGGACGGGGCAGTGATTTCATAAACCTGTTAATGTACGCATTCAAACGCTTTTTCTTTTACCAGCTGTATTCACCTTGCAGGTGCAGCTATGTGGCTTTTATCCTGGATAAAGTGTTTAAGTCATGGATGTTTAAAGTTTAACTTCTTCATATTTGACGCTTGTCCATGTTTGAGATTGGTCGAATGCTCCAAATACCACCCCTTTCATGTGAACGCGCACCTAACTAGATAGGACACGGCTGGCTTGAGCGATCCACTTGATAACCAGCATCGTAGTACAGTTTAGCAAGAGCGCGTATGTTTTGGATTGGGCCAACCGGCTAACTCAAACATATCCAGGTTAGGAAAATCCGGCTTCGTAGTACAGGCCTCAGGTCAATCTGGTTTTTTCTCCCTTCTCCTCCTGCAGTGTCATAAAACACTTCAACCTAAACACCTCAGGATACCATTTGTTAAAAGTAACATTTCAAAGTTAATGATTACTTTATTAAAACAGTAATACCACAATCTCCATATCAGAATACAGCTACATTCAGACACAAAGTATGAGAAACCTAATTTAAATGTAATTAGTTTCTTGAACATTAACGCGTAATGTAAACATGTGATTGGAGAAACCCAAAACGCATGTGTTTACTTGAAAATGAGTCTATCATAAATAAAGAATCATAGCATTGTTTGCATCCATGTTTACTAGCTTGCAGTCATCTTGCGTATTACTGCATATCTTGGCGTGTGAACGCTACTTGCTGATTAGTGGAATAGTGTGACAC